AATGAGTTTATGGGGTTTAGGTTAAAGAGGAGCTTATCTAGCACTTCCCTTAAGGAAACTGAAACAATAATTTCCAAATAATACCATCTTATTTAGCAAGAAAAGTAAACTTGGAGGGAGGGGAGGGATCACAAAGTATAACTAAGTTTGGGAGGCAGAAGTGATCAGTAGTTGGGACTTAAAAGCCCTTAAAACTACAAAACTATGTTCTTTTAAAGAGCCAAAGAAAAGGAGTGACAGAAATAGGAAAATGAGAATGAATAGAAACAAATCAGGAGAGGGAGAGCATGTGCATAGATTTTTCTTATTTTTGATTGTTCCTCTTTAGTATTACTTCCACATGCAAGTGTCTGCTCATGAAAGTATTGGATAGCAGCAGAGATGGAAATAGTCAACTTCTACTTGAAGTTTCCATGTTGCCCTGTGAATGCACTTCTGTCCTTGCTGTCTGTTCAGACTGCCTGTTAAGGTGTTAGCTGCCACACAGTCCATAGAGAATACCAGATTATTATAGAGAATACCAGATTGTTTGACAAAAACTGCTCTTTGGTTTGTTGTATTTTCCTTTCCATTCACTTTGAACAATGTCTTGGGTTTTAAGTAGTGGCTTTATGTTGTTCATTAGTGCTAACCAGTATGATGCTTTTTGTCTATGAAAGGTGGACTGTCTGTATTGTTTTTTGTTCAGTTATTTTTCTTCTTTATGCCTCATAAAAGACCTGTTCCACTTGAAATTGGTTTCTGAAAGAATGTAGAGTTGTTTCCACCCTGGACCTTCAAGTCTGGGGTTAAAAGGCTACGTGTTGATGACAGATGTGGTTTTAAAACTGTAGATGAGTGTTACTTACCTGTGAGAACTTGTAATTAAAGCTGTAACTTAGCCTCTGGAACTACCCATTGCCTTCTTACAGTCCAGGTAGAAGGTTCAGCCTTCTAACCTCAGCAAGATGCACTCAGTGATAGAGAGTTGCAGAAATTAATAGTGTAAGAGTAGGGGAAGGCATGAACCACTCCAAATGTGAGGCGTGTACCAAAACAGAGCTGGGGAGCTGCACTCTATGTCCTGGCAGTTAGGGTTTATCTTTGAGTCATAAAGAAAACAGGGAGTTGGCCCTTGTTGCTCATGACATGGACACCCTTGACATGGATTATTCCAAACCCTGTATTTTTATGATTAGCCAACACTGTCCTTCTTCATAATGGAGTTTTGGAGAAGCCTTGGGTGAATTATTTCATATGTATGTCTTGCTTAGTGTGTGTGATTCATGATTACTGTTGGACTACATGACCTTCTTGTGTGACTCAGGAAGCTGCTTTTATGTTCTGACCTCTTTCTCAACTCTCAATTTTCAGGTCCCTGGTTTGACATGTACCTAAAAGCACGTGAGCCTCTTCTTTTGAATTTTAATCCATTTATGTCTTTTAAACCTGATCCGAAACCAGAATACAACGATCAGCTCATACGAGCTACGAACATGACTGTTTCTGCCATACGTTTTATGAAGACCTTCAGGGCTGGTTACCTTGAACCAGAGGTTTTTCACCTCAATCCAGAAAAAAGTGACACTAAGCTCTTTAAAAAAATTATCAGATTTGTGCCTTCTTCAATTTCTTGGTTTGGTGCCTACATGGTTAATGCTTACCCCCTAGATATGTCTCAGTACTTCAGGCTTTTCAATTCTACACGGATTCCTAAGCTCAGCAAAGATGAGCTTTATACAGATGAAAAGGCAAAACACTTATTAGTGTTGAGAAATGGAAATTTTTATGTGTTTGATGTTATTGATAGAGATGGAAACATGGTGAGACCCTCAGAAATACAAGCACACCTGAAATACATCCTTAATGACAACAGCCCGGCCCCGGCCTTCCCTCTTGGCTACCTCACCAGTGAAAACCGAAATACATGGGCAGCGCTGAGGAAGAATCTACTGGACAATGGCAATGCAGAAGCTCTTCAAAAAGTAGACTCTGCCATGTTTTGTTTAACTTTAGATGATTTTCCCATTAAAGACTTAGTGCACTTGTCCCACACTATGTTGCACGGAGATGGTGCAAACCGCTGGTATGACAAATCCTTTAGTCTTATCATAGCTAAGGATGGCACTGCAGGAATTAATTTTGAGCATTCCTGGGGAGATGGTGTGGCTGTGCTCAGGTTCCAGAATGAGATTTTTAAAGATAGCACCACGACACCAGCCATCAGCCCCCAGTCCCAGCCTGCTTCAGTTGACTCTTCCAGAGCAGTGCAGAAACTTGACTTTAAGCTGAACGATGCCTTAAAAGCAGGGATTACCAAAGCCAAAGAGACATTTGATGCCACTGTAAAATCACTGTCTCTTAACATGATTCAGTTCCAAGAAGGGGGCAAGGAGCTTCTGAAGCAGAAGAAGGTGAGCCCGGATGCTGTGGTTCAGCTGGCCTTCCAGATGGCTTTCCTGCGCCAGTACGACCAGACCGTGGCCACGTACGAGTCCTGCAGCACTGCGGCGTTCAAGCACGGCCGCACGGAAACCATCCGGCCGGCCTCTGTGCACACCAAGAAATGCTCTGAAGCCTTTGTCAAGGGGCTCTCCAATCACAGCACTGGGGAGCTGCAGGATCTGATAATGGAGTGCTCCAAGTACCACGGCCGTTTGACAAAGGAGGCTGCTATGGGTAAGTAGGAATGCATCCAACATCCTCCTTTTGCACTAAAGTGTCTATAAGGTTGCTGTAAGTATTTACAACTCAGTATTTTAATGCTGATGGATGTCTAATGTAAACTTGACAAAAGCAGTAGCAGAAGGCTCATTCTCACTCATTTCTTGATAGAGAGGAGTGCCTCTGTGCTTCCCACAGCACCTTTCATGTGTTGAGAATTTTTTATACTTTAGTTTTTTCCTTAGAGCAGTTGGACTATTTGAAGATTCACTCAGTGTATGTTGAACAAGAACTCTGGCTTAAGTCTGAGGAGCTACTGTCTTATCTCTGCAGGGGAATAAGGCTTTAACAATTTCCAAATCAAACTCATCTTTTGGTCATGCTACTCCTGGCATTTTTGTAAATGCTTTCTTTTGAACTGTCCTTCCCAGAAGCATTAAAATTGATAGCAGTAAAACTGACTGTTGGATATGATCCCATAGAGTCTAAAATTTGCCTTGTTTTGTTGGTGCAAGATGCTCATTCTCTTTAGATTAGTAAATTTTAGGGAATGCTTTTTCTTAGCCATTAAACAACTTGGCTATGTTCAGATAAATAGTTAATCAAAGAATGTGATGTATTATTAAAATAGTCTTTAACACTCACTTTTGTGTACTCTCCTGCTCCTGTTGAGCCTTTCAGTAAAACAAGCATGCCCTGTTCTCCTAGGACGTGGGCATGAAAAGTCTGAAAAATTTTTTCTGTAAGTACAAAAATAATCTCCAGTTCTACAGAGCTCTTTTGTGGCTGAGGTGAGTTTGCTTCCCACAGGAGTCAGGCACCTCTCTCACAGCTGTTTTCCCTTGTGCAGGCCAGGGCTTTGACCGGCACCTGTTCAGCCTGCGCTACCTGGCCTCGTCCAAGGGGCTGCCGCTGCCCGAGTTCTATCAGGACCAGGCCTACGCCCGCCTCAACCACAACATCATTTCCACCAGCACCTTGGTGAGCCCGGCTGTGCAGATGGGAGGCTTTGGCCCCGTGGTGGCTGATGGCTTTGGAGTAGGGTATCAGGTACAAGATGACTGGATAGGTTGTAATGTTTCCTCTTACCCGGCTAGGAATGGTAAAGAGTACCTTCAGTGTATACACAAGTCACTAGAAGATATCTTTAATGTTTTGAAGGGCAAGAAAATTCGTAGTTAGACATAAAGACATTGGAACACTTTACAGTTGCAGAACAAAATGCAGATTATGTCTAATTGACATACTAATTAATGTTCAGCATGGATGAGACTGCCCAGCCTAACTGGGTTCATCTATCATTGCTGAACTTGAATACTGTTAAATTCAGTAGGAAGTGTCTATCCATTTCAAAGAAATCAATTACAGACACTGAATGCATTTCAGGAAATACAGACATGAACTACATCAAATTAAGTAACAGTTCCATGTGTTCTTCAAACACATAATCTAAAATAAGCATTTTTATTGAGTTAATGAACTTGGAATACCTGTGTTCCATGAATGTTTGGACAGACTACACTACTGTGATACTGCTCTTGAACTGTTTGGTTTTAAAAAAAATACATGCAATAATTTTAAACATGGAAGAGGGGTTCCATTTGCACTCTTGCAGTAAGCTTGCTTACTAACTTATCTCTTTAAACTTGAATTTATATCAGAACTGATTGTGCCTCAACTGCTTGAAGCCTTTTCACTATAACAGCTTTTAAGAGACACAAAAAATGAAATGGGAGGCCTTAAGAAACCTGCAGTCACCAACTGGGTTGTTAAACTGACTGGAAAAGATTGTATTTTAATAAAGCTGTCTGTTAATAACCACAGAGTTCTTTTATTGCCATATCTAAATCATACAGCATGGACAGACCCTTTATCAATAGCTCACATTTCTTACAAAGGTTGGAAAGAAAACTGCTGCAAGCATTCTGCACTCTGGTATGTAGATCTTGAATTCCTGCCTTTTACCCCCTTGATTTCCACTCTTTTTCTTCTGGGAGGCCGAGTCTTTCTGAATTGCACAGTGGTGGTGGCTTCTGTCACCTGTGTAAATGCAGCAGAACAACCAAATGTATCAGCAGAGCAGGAAAGTCTGAGCACATTGGTTGGATGTGACAGGTCAGGTTCAGAGGCTCAGAAACGACTTCCCTTTGCTCTTCCTTTGGGTATCTCAGCTTCCAGGTTCTCCCAGGGTCTTTTTCATTTAGCACAGTAAGTGTAAGCAATACCCTGTCCTGGAAGTATGAAATAAAAATGTAATGTAGCAGGAAACAATAATCAGACCAAAAGTCTGAAAAAAATCCGCTAAAGATTGGCTGGGCTTTTTTTTTTTCCCTTTTTGGGTTTGTTTGGTGGGGTTTTTTTATTTTGAAACATGAGACCAGCTGGCAGGATTGTGAATGCACTCGCCAAGGAGTACAAAGTCTGTCTTCACCTAAAAATCAGGTTTACTTAATGACATACTTGGAAAGATAACTTGCTTTTCAGAGGACTGTAACTGTGTAAATGTCAGCAGCAGTCAGGCTTAGTAAGTATTCTCAGGAAACCCACCTCAGTCTTTACCAAGAGGGGCAGAAAGCTGCTTAAAGGTATAGCTGTTCCCTTGAAGAGTTAACACTGCCTTTACTAGTGCTTGCAGCCATTTCCTCACGACAGGAGTGCTGAGTGGGAAGACTTTATTTGCTTATGTTAAACAAATGTAGGTACTTCCTGGTGACCAGCTACTAAAACCTTTAAGGCTGTAAGTTGTGTAAGCAGTTACTCAATGCATTAGCTAAGCTACAGCCCACCACAACCATGTAACTCCCAAACCCCACAGCCTTAAGGCCATGGCACTGTTCAGTCAATATGTGCTATTTTCAGTTTGTACTGAGGCCATCTCCAAGTGCTCCATGGGAAATATTTTATTAGGGCATGGAAAGTACAACTCAGCAATGTCGGTCAAAGGTTGAACTCAGACTTGGAGATCATTTCCAACCTAAATGATTCTGTCACCTTAGGTTTCCATTTCTGAAGTGCAGCCATGTGAAAAAGTAACTCCAAGGAAGATGCATATCTGATGTTTACAGCTCCTCCATCAATAACTCTGTCATAATTTGTCACAGGTATGAACTTCAGCATTTTACAAATTTATGGGTAACTTCATAGATTCCAACAGATTCCTTTGTTTTTTCATCATAGTCATTCCAATCCTGTAGGAAATAAGATTTCACAGTGTTAGTAACAAAAGACAGAATGCACAGACTGGAATTCAAACTGGAACTAAACGTTACTCAAAGTTTGGGTCTTAGATATGTGTAGGAAGTTAAATTTTAACAGGTCAGAGTAGCAAGCTCAGTAACCTGAAATTAAATGAGCTTCAGTCTCAGTGTTTATATATATATATATATATATATATATATATACATACATATATATATACACATATATACATATATATATATATATATATATTTTCTTCTGTAGTCCCCAGCCTGTAGTGGACAAGCAGCAGCCATGGCAGGTGAAAGGATTATCTATCATTTACAATACCCTAGTCAGGTGGGTAAGCAGACAAGCAGATCCCTGCCAAGTAGGATACCAGGGAACAGATGTGACCTTGAGATTCCTGCTCACACCCAAGAAGATTTGCAAGGTGCCATTATCCTGAGCTATGAAGGACAGTGTCTGTATTACTTTTCAACCTCTCTGTGCACAGGACAACGGGCAGGGATCTTCCTAGACAGCCATTTAGTATTCCAGGTTCTTGGTTTCTGGAATTCTTGAGTGACTTAAATCTTTGTCAGCTGCTACGTTAACAAATCCATACTTCTAAAAAGACACTCTTAGTAATGCTAGTTGTTCATACTTTATTCAGTTTCTCTCTCCTTCTGTGGCCTTCCTGTGGTACAGGAAGAGTAAAACCAGTCTAGGGTGTGTATTTCAGAGTAGTGATGTGGGGAGGGCATGTTAGGTAAGTAGTGAAACCAAGACAACATACCTTTTCTAACAAGTTGATGTCATTGAAAGGTGTGCCAGATTCTGCACCCTCAGCAGCAAACCCTGCCTGCAAACCACATGTGCAGAAAGTTTTTAAATTACATTGTACTGACAAAATAATAAATATGAACATTGAAACATCTAAAGAAAGTAGCTCAGCAGAAAAATGTATTGTATTTCTTTTTAATTAGGCAGAAAGAATGGGCAAGCTCTGTATCACTGTGCTCCAGTGATCTGGGCAAGCTCTTTCCTAGTTAGGGGTCAGTATAAGGTTGGGACCCTGCTTGTGCATTGGGAAAATTCAATCCAAGGAACCAGAGTAAAATAAGGGAACATTGCTCCTCTATTTTTCCCAGCAAGAAAAGTATTTCCAACTATTCTAGATAAGAAAGCTTAGTTCCTAAATTTATATAGCAGCATCCAATTACAATTAATAGCTTTGTGTTCAGAGTCCACACAGGCAAAACAGCTTCATAATACATTGCAAGGAAAGTAATTGAAAATGTGGAAAAAAGTGAATAGTTCTGGCTTGAATACTGGAATCCAAGACACTCCAGAGGAGGAGCAGCTTGTATTGGATTTAGGCACACAAGTGACAAGCAAGCTTTATGTGTAAGGAGGATCAGCTGGCTGAGTGAACAGATTAGCATCCCAAACAAGCATTTCACAGGGGACAGTTCTTCCCTGCCACCACTGCTGCTGTTTTTAAAGAGTGGAGAAAGGACAGCTCTAGGAAGGTGCTCTGGTTTATCTCCCATAGGAACAGCTCTCTCACCTGAGGGTTCACAGTTACCAAGCTGTACAGTAAGATTTACTAATTTTAAAAGTACATTTAAAAAATCCCAGCCACTTCTCTAGCATGCAGGAAGGTTTCTTACACTGTCAGTTCTAACTATAGAATTTTATTAACAAGTGGCTGAAAATCAAAGGTAGCTTCTTCCTGGTTTTCTGCAAGGGATCTAAATTAAGGTTTATATCAAAGAAACAAAGGACATGTTCTCCTCTCTAACACTCAAATGTTTTGTGGTGGTAGTTGGGTTTGTTGGGTTTTTTGATAACTACTGTAATTTAAATAAGACATACAAGCATTAAGGCACTTTAAATTGACTCCAGGTGTGGTTGCATTATGTGTACCAAAAGTACAGAGAAAATACAGTGATTATATGGCCACATGTCATGTTTAGTGCTAATCAAAAGTGAGATCTAGAGTTGTGCAGAAGCCAGGCTGGCTTGGATCATGCCAATATAAAGCAGTTGACAAAATTGTTTGGAACTGCAGAAGTCACTTGAGCAACAGGAAACTCTCATTTACTGATTTAGGCATCCAGAAATTCACTGAAATACCTCTTCAGGGATTCAAGTGCACCAAACTCAGAATATGAAATTAAAACTTTTGTTACAGCTGTGAAGTCTTTATTCTGTAAATAAAATTGACAGCTAGGATGCAGAGCTATAAACATCTCCTACAATTTGTAGTCTTCATCTAGATTTTTTTTCAAGTACAAATTCCTAAGCCTGGTTGCAAAGCTTTCAAGCAGGAATAAACTAAAAACCATTCTGGAATGAAGGAATAACCATTCCTCAAAAAGATGGACTTCACTTAAATAAAGACTTCCCCCAGCACACTGCAGCAGGGTTTCTATTTATATCAAATTCTTTGTAGGATCAGCTTTTTTGGGCTGTTTCTTAGCACAGCCTCCCAGTCTGAGAGAAGGATAAGACAGATTTATATTTGTCAGTCTATTTACACCTAATCGGACTGGAATAATGGGTTAAAAATAGCAGGGAGTTAAGTGGCATAGAGCATGACCATGCACAAGAGATGAGTCATTGCAGACTGGCCCTGAAGAATCCTTTAACTCTGAGCCTTGAGGTGAGCTCTGCACAGCCTGGAACTGCCCGTGATCTTCAAGCTTGGTCTGCTCAAGCTGCAAATGGAAAAATGCCAGTGTTCATCTCCTGTGGCTCTGGTGATGCCAACCCCAAAGAAAATCTGTTTGTATTTTAGACAACACACACTGAGGTGTGTTCATAACCTGAGCTTGAGGAGCTCTGTAACACAACAGGGGCAAGTGGTGCTCTGTGTAATGCTGCACTTTGCCTTTGGGAATGACTCTTTTGCAATGAGCTGAGCAGTGAAGACCTCTCAGATGAATTCAGATTAACACTGAGTCACCTGTGAGACAGTCTGAGTACGACTCCAAGCTGTGCTTAGCTTTAGATTTTACTGGCACAGAGAATGCCAGTTGTTTGTGTTAGCTCTTGGCAAGTGTTTGGTTTGGTTTGGTTTTTTTCTTGAGTCAAATGAAAAACTCAAAACAAGGAACTGTGGAAGGATGAGAATCTGGAAAGGTCCAAGATGTTCCAGAACCATTTCAAACAGTGTGTACTTTACCACTCTAGAAGAAATGCTTTTAAAGACAGAAACAAATCACAAAGAAGAACTCACCTGTGGTTGAAAGTCAACTGGTTCCAGACCTCGGCATTCAAACTCCACAATGGTTTTGAATTTCTCACTGTCTTCAGCCTGTGATTGAGTCAGAAAACCATCAGTTTCCATCTAATAGAGACAGTGACAAGCATTAGTCTAGGAATGGATTGCTTTAAAGGCAGCATTGTCATCTCTGATGCCCCAAGTGACAGCAAAATCCTAGGGCTGGTTTCACAGGTGGTCCCTAACTAGAATTTCCTTATCTGCCATGAGGAAGACTTTGAAAGGAAGCCTAGAGGGGCATTTTATAATCACCTCTGATTTGGGTGATATAGTTCTGTGCTGGCTTTTGAAATGTATCAGATTATTCTACACTTGAGGCTGTAAAGAAGTCTACAAGACAATTTCTATCCAAGGACAAGACCAGCTTTTTGTGCTGTTGAAAAAGGATGATAAAGCAAAATTCAAAATACTGTTAATGCTTTCACATAGAAGAGGAAACAAACTTACATTGTATGGCTTGATTGTCTGACTTAAAATATCTAAAAAAAAAAAAAAGTATACAAGTGAGTGGCACTATGTCTTCAGTTTCATTCAGCACAAACCAAGCACCAGGATTTTCTTTCAAAGCAATTTCCTTCTACAAAGCAAAAGAAAAACAAGAAATGCAAGGTTTTCCTGCAGCTGGTCTTCAAAAGGCAGAATTCAATTTTTCTCCCTTCTCCTGAGAAGTTTACACTGCACCATTTTTCTGTTCCAATGCCACAAAGATTTGCATGCTTTTGTAAAATAACAATACAGATGAGTTTTGTTCATGCAGAAGGCTGAACTCACCAGGAGGCCTTGCTGTCTCCCTGAATGAGATGTCCAGAAAGTGCCTGCTGGGAACTCAAGCACCAGTGCACAAGGGCAGAAATCCCCGGTGCAAGCTCTTTACAAACAGTGTCAAGCAGAAATGGGGACTGAAAGAGAAACTGTGAAATGGATGCTGCCCGGTCAGTGTCCCTGCACGTACCGATGGAGTTCTCCCTGGAGCACAGCTTGCACTTCTGCACCATGGTGGCGCTTCCTCGGCCGCCCTTCAGGGGAGCACTGTCCTAAAATCCATGACAAGAGAGACTTTTTATTCACTTCAGCTGAGCCACTGCTAAGGTAAGGTAGTTTTTACAACAACCCTTTTAGCTTTTTAAAAATACTGCAACAAGGCAGCGTTTTTCTTAACTACAGAGATTAATAATTCAACAATTTGAGATTATCAAAATATAATTCTATTCTAGACTTTAAATAGGGAATAATAGATATTTGTGTCTTATCTGTACAGGCATGCTCTACTAATTCTTCAAAATACATTCTTACCATTCAGCTATATGCAACGAAAAGGGGCGATTATTGCTAAGAACAGACAAGTATCCCTGACAAATTTTATCCTGCCTTTTCAGCTTCCAAATTAGCTGATTTAGCATGCTTAAATCATACTGATTTACCTAACCTTCTCCAAATGGATTCCATCAGCATCAGAGAAACAGGCTACAGAGAAATATGTATTCACAGAACAGAATACAGAATAGAGTACATTTACAGATATTTTACATCTGTTTTTAAAACAGATCTAATACTTTGTTAGCAACGGTCACCATTCAAATGGCACATGTCAATTAACAGTCTCCAAATATTAATTTTAATATGGAACATGACAATTTTCTAAATGCATATAGCTATTAAAAACGATCTCATCTGGAGGGTAAGCTGTCACATCCTTGATGCGGATACGTGTGTAAGAGGCAGGTTTGTGTTTGCATTTTTGCTCGGAGGTAGGTTACGGGGGGGCGCACGCACCATCAGCCGCAGGTACTGCCACTTTTCGGAGACTTCACCGCAGTTCCCACATTTCAGCTGGAGAACACAAATCGGAAGTTTGAAAGCTGTCAATAATCAGGGATACGCTCCCGACCCCGGCCCCGCACCTTGAGGTACCATCGGAAGTCCTCGCCCTCGGCCCGCAGCCGGGTGATGTTCTCCAGCG